CTTCATACAGTGATTATTGGACCTTTAAAGAATATTCTTAGGAAGTTTCAGCTGAATCCAAGTTTGAGCGATTTTCGTCATAGTAGCACTTTAATAAGAAAATGCAATACATATCCATCACTCAAATCAAATCAAATGAAATTTCAGGCATCAGCAAAATAAACTTTTTTTTAAACTATATTTTTCTAAAGTGAAATTTAATTAATGGTGATTCCAAATATAAAAAGAAAAATGGAGTGTCCCGAGCTTATTTATCGGCATTTAAGGACGGTTGCCTATTAATTGAGAATCAATTTTTAATTTATTTTTTTAAATGACTATGTGAATTATTTTAACCTATCAAAGGGTTGTCAAATTCTGGTTAGAAAAGTAGGGGTCACCATGCATTTAAAAGAAATAATAAGGCTTAAAGATCGTTAACAAATGATGACGTCATGATTTTACTAACACCAGGAAAAAAACATTTTTCAAAAGATTTTGAGAAATTTCTAATTGAAATCGTCCTAAATGACTGACACTCTGTTTCTTTACTAAAATATACCCAATTCTACCATGACTTTAATAGTTGGCTATAATATATATAATTTTTTAGCTTCTTGCTCCCTATTTTCAATCAGTAGGTACATAAAGATTGTGTCCATATTCTTTTCAAAACCAATTATTTTTTATAAATTTCATTTCACAAGGCTAATTTAGCATTTACTCTATTATTTAGACGAAGAAAAAATAGGGGTATCCAGGCGTTTTTAAGAGATACGAATTTTTAAAGAACATTATTAGGGATAAATCTTATGCCGAATGCGTGACAAGCGTTACACAGCATAAAAAACGGCGTGACAAACTCTGTTTTCGGCACGTTTGCATGTCAAGCTAAACATGCTGCTTCCTGCCATGCAAGCAAAAAACACAGAGAAAAACTCGATATTTATAAGCTTTATAGTTCCAGGAAKACTATTGGGTTTGAAGTGAAGTTATTATTGACTTTTTACTTAACAGCAGAAAGGAATTTCTGAAATATTTGGTACGTAATAAGATGATTTCAGGCCCGTAGCTAGGATTTTTGTTGGGGGGGGTGCTAATTTACAAAAAGTGGACCAACCATATACTTTATTTTTTAAAAGTCCCATAGGACGCATAGGTATAGATAAATTATTAAAGTAAAATTGATTTTTTTCACTTAGTTTTACGTGAAAATATCATACCAGCCAAAATCTCACTTGCTTAAAAAGCAGACCTTTAGCTCGCGTGGGAAGGGGGGGGGGGGTGCGAACGCACCCCCTGCACCCCCCTAGCTACGGGCCTGGATTTTTTAGATTGAGAACTCCAAAGTAAAAGAATTTCATGATGAAAGTGTTTAGCGACCAAAAAAAGATTTTCAAAACTATAATTACACACCTAGATATTAATAAATGGTAAATWTTCAATTTCATATGTATTTCTTGCTTGTTTTTATTCAAGTTTTATAGGATTAAATCTAAAGAAACGGTAAAAAGCTTTATTATTGAAAGGATTTAGTTTTTTAGAACTATGAGTCTGCCATCTTTTCACTGAAACTTGCCCAAAAAAACTTGATTCTTTGTCAATAATACTTAAACCTTAGCAAATTATCTCTTTAACAAGCCTGGGTTACTTAAGATCGTTTTCTGCTTTAACTGCAAAAACTGCCCTATAGGAAATAGTCAGAAAAAAATCATTCTACAATATAACGTTGATATTTTCGACAAAAAGTCAAAGAAATACATTGATTTGTCATATTTTGTCGTTTCGGTGCTCTTAAAAAATCTCATCATCTCATGCAAAATTTGAGGGTTTGCCCTCTTGAAGCTCAAAACGTGCCATGGTTCTTCAATAAAATCTGGTAGATTTTTCAGCGGTTTTTGAGCGCGCTCACATTGTTGGCTCAAATTCGTTCAAAATTAGGTAGTCACCTTAAATAATATTCAAAATATCACGCTGGACGTGCTAACTCCCCATTCGATAAATCAAATTTCTGTCTTACAAGTCAGTCAAAATAAACGAGTTGGAAGCCATCCAAGTGCGTACAGTAAATAGGCTTCCAACACGCTCATTAACATGATGGTATTCCGCATACATACTTTGCTTCATTGCAGCTCCTTATCGCTGGGGTTTTAGGGGTAATCACGTGGTGGAAACGTCACAGAGGAGTGGTGAGTTACTATGGTAATAGTTTTACTTTTATAATACCATGGCACTGAAGTTTATATATAGATATTAACCTAATTACGTAAAATATAAGTCGTTCTCGTGAAATATGTGGGTTTTGTTATTCATCCGATCGAGATACAACCCAATGAATAACGAAGAAAAGCTTGTTAGGTATATGCAATATTAGACGCATTTAGCATCAGGTTTACCGCTAACCGCTAGGCATCAGGCCCAAAAAACACACCCGCAAACACTGAGAAACATTCGGCTTCAATGAAATTCAATATGGCGGCTCTCCCAGCAACAACTTTGTTATGATACCTTGCTAAGTTTGATGGAAAACGCCTGATGTCGAAATGCAGTTTGAGGTTTGCGGTACGTAGCGAGAACGTCGTGCTAAAGGTCTCTAACAGTGATTAAAAGATACATCGCGATTTCTCGTTAGTCTAGAGTACAAACACTAAAAGTGTGCAACACTTTGCACTATTTAGTAGTAAATAGTGCTAATTAAACAATAGAAAACAATAGGATTAGCATAATTTATCAGTATTTAGTGGTATTTATGTTACACACTTAGTGTTTGTACTCTATTGTGAATGTTGCCTTATTTATTATTACAGCTTTACTACTTTGTCAGTATCATTGTGGTCAACTACAAACAGGCAAATAAATGCATGAATCACATGTGAAGACAAGCATTACATTACTGCTCGCAGCACTTTATAACTTGCAATATGAATGCCGAGACGTCTCTCGACACAACTCGTAAGACATAGTCACGAAATGGTGAACGCATGCGCAACCAATTTTTAATTTGTTCCACAAGCCCTAGGGTTTTGAACAGTGTTTAAAAACCAACCGCGTCCTATTTCTATTTTTTGATGTAGGGTTTAAATTTCGATGGAAAACCTAGATTTAACCTTCATTTAAAGTTGGTTGCGGCATTGATATTAACATGCAGGAAAGAGCGAATTTAAATTAGGGTAGCACCGCTGTGAGTCCAACGGGTCGGGTCGCTGGTTCGAGCCCTGCGGTCGCCACATATGAATTGAGTTTCTTTGATGTGTTGATCTCTCCTATGCTACAGGGGTTTTCTCCGGGTTCCTCATTCTGTAAAAATCAACGTGCGAGTTGATGCATAGAATATTGAATGAAGTGGTAGTGTGTGTAAGTGAAACATGTCCCCAATTAGTGCGAAAGCGCTAGAACAACTAGACGCTTTAATAAAGAAATTTATTTATTAGTTTAAAACCCGGGACAGGTTTCCATCGAACTTCAAACCCTACATCAAACAATAAAAATAGGGCGTGGTTGGTCTTTACACAATTTAAAACGCACTGCTCGGGTTTGCATTGAATTTCAATGCCAACCCCCCCCCCCTCCCCCCCTAGCGTTTTAACCTTTATCTAAAGCAGAGTTTGCGTTAAGTAGAAGATTTCTTTGGGTCAATGCGACCCAGTCATTGTCCCGCTGATTTTTATATGAGGAACAATGCCGCAAGAATAGTAATGAGGAGAGTGGTTTTAACGTTTAAAAACGTCTCTCTGGAAACAATGGATTCCATGGTATTAATAGAATAAATTCTACAAAGCCTTACAACAATTTTTTGTCAGATAATTGGTTTCCTCGTCGTCACTGTCTGCGTACTTATTGCTGTATTCCTGACCCAATCGATTACTGCAGGGGCACGTTACTCCGATTATAAAATCAAGGTGGCGAGCTGGCATTGTTATAGGACAAAATATAAATTCTGCTACTGCAAGCCAAATGAACGTAGTAAGTAACAGTGTTTGAACTATATCAGTGCTGTTCAGCTGGGGGCTCCGACTCTCTCTCTTTGGTCCTTTAACAGAGGTTCTTCAGTAACGATTAAAAACAACAAAAAGAAAAGCCAGTAAAGTGAAAAGACTCAGAGTAAAGAGAAAGACAAAAATAGACCTCTTCTAGCAGGGTTCCTAACCACTTGGCGTTTTAGCCAACTTGAGTCAAAGCACTCGATAAATCTTGTTAGCCTTACTGTCAGGCACAGGTTCACAGGTTGAAAATTAAGTGTTGTATTTCTTTGTGAACTTGGCAGGCATATTAAGCAAAGATATGTACTGCGACAAATCAAAAATGGACTCCATCATCAGATCGCTATTGACTATCGTTATCTTCAGCGTTATCAGTGGCATTGCTTCATTTACGGGCTCAATCTTTGGTTGTATGGGAACCAGCTCCGTTCAGGTATTAAAACTAGAATACATTCTATTTTGAGCTAACTCCAATTTAATTTTAATTTTGAGCTAACACTTAGGGAAGTTCGGGGGCAGGCACAAACGAAACAGTTTTAAACTGAGACCCTTGGAAGTGTGATTTCGAGTGTTTTTGGGGGGGGGGGGGCAGTTACGACATATTTATTGCATCAGCTATTGATATTTTTAAACAGCAAAAAAATATATGACGGCAAAATTATTAGGGGGACAAAGCACCCCAGTCCCCCTCCCCCTCATCGGCCCCTGTATCCCAATTCTTATGTTTGGGATCGTGTTGTCACTGATGTTTCATTAATCATGACGATGATTCCATATTGCAGAATCAACCTGGTGCTGTGGTAGCTGAACGCCCTGTGTTAATGACAACCGTGACCGTTCAACAGCCTGATCACTCAGTTCAGCCGCCTGGTTACCAAGAAGCTGATGCCAATGTACAAGCAACTTCATGCCAGCAACAAGTTTCTGACGACCCTCCACCGCAATACACAGTGGTTTAAAAGTTCGCGTATGCAGGGAGTCGAGCAAGGAGGTCAGCACGCCCCCCCCCCTCCCCACCCTTCATAGCGGCCTCTCAGTGGTAAAGGGACAGACTGGTGTAAACCTGTATTGATCAATTAGGGTCTTAGCCAGTGAGTAGGTCATAAAAAAATTTGGTTTAACACGTGATGCGCTTATTAAAAACTACTAATTCTACTAATACTTCAATCAATCATGCATTTCAAATTATTTAGACAGTCGCAACAGCCTCAACAATATCATCTGAATTCTTCGCGGTAAGATCTTCTTTTTCGGCATGAGGCTCTTTAACCATGTGGCCAGTAGGTTTGCCACAACAAGGTATGCTGTAATGAAGCACGACTTCCTCGGTTTCTTCGATTGATTGGTGCATGTTGGCAAACAATGTTTCTGGTAAAAACAATGCAGCGATAGCAGCAACGATGGCAAGGCCCCCGAAAATACACATCGGAAAGGTTATTGATATTCCGGGAAACTGAGTCTGAAAAAAATGTAAGAAATATTTATCAATGTCTACACACATAAACTGAAACAGGTTGTGATTGAATGAACAAATGAATGAAAGAAAGCATGATTGAACACACTTACCATCATGACAAAGTAAGGAGCAAGAATCGCCCCACAACGAGCCGTCATGGAACCTGTACCGATTGCAATATTCCTGCCAAACAAAATGTTAACAATGCTATTCATAACATAGCCACGATATAACGTGCGCTCTTTTTTCTTTAATTAGCGTGCGCGAGCGTGCATCCAGAAATGGATGGTGCACGCTGACGTGTTTGACTAACGCGCCCTATGTAATGAAGATTTCGTTGGAACAAAATTTGAATTTTTTTTTCGATAAACAAATATTTTTTACGATTATTCTATGTTACAAAAGCAATGGGCAATGCTTAGTTTGTGCATATATCCAGTTCTGGGCGCACTTGGAAGGTTGCTTAAGCACTCAAGAAGCTTAGAGTTACTCTTACGCTTCTTTTGTGCTTGGCAACCTCCCGCGTACATTCTGAACTGGATATACGCACGCTAAGCATTGACCACTCCTTAACTGATATGTACAAGGGTTAATGAAAATCTTTTAGTACCTCATTTTATATTAATTAGTTTTACCTTATCACGGTTGGATAAAGCTCTGACGTTATTAAGAATACGTTATCGAAGTTAACATCCATGAATGATTTTCCCAGTATTGCGAGAACAGTTGTTACCATAGCATATTCTAAAAAAAAAGACATAGTTAGGTTCACAATAAAGTAATAATCTCAGATGATTATTGGAGCCTGCCAACCAGCGCGTATAATGCATTTTAAATATTTCATAATTTAAATAAATTAATGACACATACTTTTGGGGACGAACGTAAAGGAAAACAACATGATGCCCGCCAGGACATTAAACGTAAAAAATGGTAGGCGTCGACCAAACCTTTGAATACAAACAATATTTAGTAGCAAATGTAATTGTTATAGCAAATTATCTGGACAGAACGGGTTTCGTACTCTAGTCCACTGACGAGCTAGTTTCTAAATGATTAACTATGTCCGGCAGTTTTTAAAAGACCTTCTTAGAAAAAAATGTGCATTGTGGGATTCAAACCTGCACGTCCAGAAAACAAAAGGAACATTCAAAAATTTAATTGATTCCACTGTGCCACACTTTCAAGACATCCACAGAAGCTTCTAAAGGCGTCATGTAGACTTCGAACCTGATGGCAATATAGATCTGCCTCGTTTGATTGTTATATTGCTTGTTTGTTTGTTTGTTGTTGTTGTTGTTTTTTGTTTGTTCGCTTGTTGTGTTTTTCCTTTTTCTCTCTCTTTTTAGTTTTGAAGATACTTGAATAGATATAGAACTTCAATGTTTTTGCTAGAAATGCGCCATATATAATGACCTGTTTCCTATCTATCCAAAATGCTTTCACGCCCAAGATCTGAATCGAATACTATCAAGATACTTACTTAAGAACTACTATCCAACTGATAAATTTGCTTGGTATTCCAACGAGCTCCATTATGAGGACGTTTATGAAGATGTTTCCAGTTAGTTGAGAGACAAACAACATTAACGCAAAGTAGACCAGAGATATCACAAACCTGTGATGATAGAACACAGAACATTAGCTTCTTATTCTTGAAAAAAACCAGCAGAACCTTTTATAAGCGACCTTGTATATAGCCTTGCGTGCATCCAAACACAAACTTGTTTGTTAGCCGGTTTGTCTGCGAATCAGCGACACATTTCTAGTTCTATTCCCCAGTTACATACCGCCTAGATACATGTACTAAATTGTGATTGGTTAATCCCTACTCGCATTCTTACGCGCTCTCTCATTGGCTGCTTAGCGTTATTCGAATCAGTCAATGAGAGTCCTTGTAATTTAGTACATATATCTAGGTACGTTTCTGGGAGTGTTGAGAACCAGAAATCTGTCGCTGATTCGCAGACGAACCTAACCAACAGTTTGTGTTCGAATACACGCAGGCTACCTCTTATAAAGCGGTCAAACTTTTATTGCCACCTCAGTGACAATTACCCGACAGTGGTCACTTGATAGAGGTTGTGCTGTAGTTTAAGCAGCAGTTTGACATGAAGAACATCAGACAGGGATACAAACTGGTTTCACCGGTTTTCAACTAATAAGCCCTGATGCACATGTTTTTGGGTTCTTGGGTTCTGTGAAAACGGTCAGTGTAGATGAATCTACAAATGACATTTTCCTAATGCGCATGGTGGACTAACAATTCAAAATATCGAACGTGACTGATTTACTGCTTGAAAATTCCATAGTCATACTGCTTTGTGAAACATGCGGAATCTTCTTTCAATAATGAAAAATTATTGTCCTTAGTAAAGTTTGATTATTGAAAGTTCGAACCCTTTTAAGCCTGTTTCTTAAAAGCGCGCAAGAATACTGATGCACAAGCACAAACCAACGCAAGAAAAACATTTTTGGTTTTTGTTGTTGCACTTTCATTTGCGCTTACGGTGTCGCTTCTTTTCTAAGTGAGATCATGGAGGTCAGTGAGTCGGCTTGCGCCGGTTTGTGTCGCTAGTAAGAGTAACCAGGCTTTAGTTCTTTTGTTTTTAACTTTGTCTGTCTCTCTGCTTGTACATTCAACCCACCAGTTGAAACACACAATTAAACTCCAACGTCTCAGTCTCGGTGTCTTAAACATGTCAAGAATGTGGTATTTCTTGGCATGTTGAGGGCGCGTCAGCTGCTCTTCTCTAATGTTCTTCAGTAGTGTCATAAGCTTTACTTCGTCAATTGGCTGCTTGGTTTTTGAACCGTACTTCATCAGGACTGCATGTGCTTCATCCAAATGACCATTAGCAACAAGCCAACGAGGTGATTCCGGGAAGACTCTGTAAAGGAAACATAAATAAAGGTTACAACGATGCAAAAAAATGAACGGTGCAAAGCAGTGAAGTCAGAAGGACAGGGGAAATCCCCTTGAAAAAAATAAAGAAAAATCCTATGGCAGTTTGGGCTAGGACATTCGCGTCAAAGTGCGAACGCTTGCTCCTGAATAAGTTCTATGACTCTCGCTACGCCAATAGTGCAACGTGAAAAACGAGTTGTGAGCTTCAACAATAAACCGTAGCTCTCTACTTATTTGCCACTTACCTATAAAATAATGGAAAAACAAAACCAACTAAATTTCCAGCAATGACAGTGTGACGCCATTTCGGTAACAAATACACAATCATCACGAAAAATAAAGCCCCAATTGTCCAGACGAATTCCGTAGCATTTGCAGCCAATGTTCGTTTCTTGGGTCCTACAAGCTCAATTAAGAAGGTGTACTGGGATACCATTAGAGATATTTGAGAAAATCCCACGGCGAAACGTAACACACAGCTTAAAATATACGAGTCTGCAAAGGCTGAACCAAGGGAAACAGAGACCTGTGATAAAAAGAATACAAATAGAGTTGGAGAAAACGCCAAGACGAGAGAAGAGGCCCCTTCATAACTCCCCTTCGGCTAAATATACTGATGAAGGTGCAGGGCACAGCCACAGATAAACTTACCATAACGAAGCAGTTAATGAAAATACAATTTTTTCTTCCAAAAGAGTCAGAAAGATGGCCCCCAATTGCTGAACCAACTAACATTCCAACAAAATAACTAGACTGAATAGCTGCCGCGATGTAGGCTCGATCACAAATCAGGTTCCACTACGAAAAAGAAAACAAGTCAGTCTTTCATTAGAGAAGTGAGGATTCTCTTCGATGTACCTTTCGAGCTAAACTGAATGTTTTTCCCATTTCAGACGTGTCATTCTTTTGAGAAGAGATTATTTGCTTGAGCTGTACCCATATACATGAAATGATTAACAAAGCTTACCTCTTTAACGATACTGGTAAAGGAGTCTTTGAATGCGTACGACGTGCAGTTCTCGCAGCATTTCTTTATGGGGCAAGTGATGTTAGCAATAGTGCTGCTAGTGCAACGGAAAGATGGAGTTCCTAATGCAAAGACAAGGAATCCAAACTGTACTACCATAGGCAGCTTGAGGCAAGAAACAAACCAGTAAAGTTTGTTTTGGTAAAATCCAAATGTATTGACAATGTCAAAAACGGCATCAAACTCGATGTATCTTTTCTTTTCTTGCTCTTTTTCCATTCTGTATATTTTAGAATACAGCTCCTTTCAGAATATATTGTACCAAATTATAAAAAATGTGCGGAATAAAAATTATAGAGATTTGTATGAAAAACTACCCATTATTTATTACGCATACAATTTACTGTTCAGTGTCTCGATTTTTTATCACTATTAATTTCAGAAGTGACCGACACAACTGCGCTATGAAAGGCAATGATAAGAGTGGTGTACATTAAGATTGCTCCGCACGGATTTTTTTGGGGGGGCTTTTTGATAAATTTTGCCAAAATAACTAATGAAAATTGATAATAAAACTTCCCGGTAAGTGACCCCGGTACGCCTTCACGTCAGGGTCATGTCTAAAAGTAGGCAAAACTCAAGTTTGCGAATCGAAAAATCACCTCGCGGTGCATCGTCGTTAATTCGCGTTCCAAGATTTTTGTATGCTTTATATTATCATTTTATATATATTAAATCGCAGTTTTTCTCTTGGATACGCGAAGCGTAAAAACGAGTTAATAATTTATCTCAACGAACACCTTGATTATATTTAATATGCCGTAGTTTATCAAGAAAACGAGACTGATGAGTAACACGATGTTCGGTAGATGGTGAATTGTCAAATTTTAAGTCTGATTCTGACAAAAACAAGTCATCGAGTGAGCATACCTGGATAAAATGACAGAGAAGGAATTACAACTACTGATTTCTTGTTCCAAGTCTATATCAAGATTCTGAACTTAAAAAGTTACAAATTATTCAACCAGTTTCATGAGTTTTSAAGGCTGCATTTTTGAATGCAGACTGCAGTTGCTTCATTAAAATACGGCTAGTTTAATAAATTAGATTTTTTATCATTAACAAGGGATTAATTTGCATTTATAGTTAAACAATATCAAAAATGATTTTTTTCTCAGTATTCTGTACTTGTCAAGGTTCTGAATAGTATCCCAAACCTGCTAGTTGTACTTCTCTAGATGAGCACTTTCTAACATAAAGAAATAGAAAACGCGCGCGCGTGCTGTGTGCTGTCATAAAGCACGCGGGGGTTGGCAGAACATGAGAGAAGTGTTAGGAGAAGCACGACGCGTAGCGGAGTGCTTCTGGACACTCCTTGAGTGTTCTGCCAATCCCCAAGTGCTTTATGACTGCACACAGCACAGCAAGCAAGTTTTTTATTTCTTTTATAAAATACAAATTACAATAATAGATAGAAATGACGCAACGGAAAGTAAGCGCGCGTACAATGTTCTCTCATAAAGCACGCGCTCCAAACCAATCAGAACGCGACATTCATAACAGTTATTTTATAATTGAAAATAGAAAAGTCTTTTGTGTTTAATTATTGTGTAAAGGCCATAATTATTTTGACAGTAGAAAGCCCTTACCATATGCATTGTCCTCAGTGTTTTTTTTAACCAAATTAAGATACAAAAATGTACTAAATATATTTAAGGTATATACTGTGCCTTACGCCAGGTAAGTTTAGTCATTTATAACTTTTACTTTTATCTACTACTCATAGATTTTTGTGGTTGCTTTTCAGTGTATTGTAGTTTGAAATTGCCGGAATTTTTCACTCGTCAACAGTGGCTTTACTAGGGCACGGTTTACCCGGACCACTTTTTACCTATACAGAACCCTTTTTCCCCCTCGTACAAAAAATTGTTTACGCTTGTAAACAAAAAACAGGACCACTGTTTTTAAAAATCGGACATGTAATTTCTGTAGTTAACTCACCAATTTTTGCACGAATGTTCTCGTTGCTGTTCTGTGACTCTTGAGCTGCTGGAGGGTATTTGATAGATGGTAGTTATTAGTAGGTAGGTTATTACGTATTGGTAGTTAAATGGTAGGTAATTATCTTTGTTTCTTTAAAAAGTTTCACAAGATTCCTTTGGTTGACTGCCTTACCTGGCTGCACTGAGCACGTTGGACTTGGGCACTTCAAAGAACAATTCAAAGGTGTAGAATAGTCCTCTTTTATCATTTCAAATTAAAATGAAAAAGACCCAAGCCCAAGTCCCCGTAAACAAAATTCTAGTTAAAGACTATGAGAACCCAGGCAACCCAGTCGACAGAATAAGGTACTATATCGATCCTATATTCGACTGTAGGACCGTCACAGGGGCGGATCCAGAGGAGGGGTGCAGGGGGTGCGCACCCCTCCCTGGTTCGACTTTGTGCTCCTACTTCGAAGACAACCAATACTGTTTTTCCCTTTTATTCTAAGGAGTGCACCCCTCCCTGGGTTAACTTTGTGCGCAGCACCCCTCCCTGAACAAAATCCTGGATCCGCCCCTGGCGTCATAAATATCACCTGTGCTTTCTTTTATTTAATAGTCTAGTTTCAAATTTCTGTTGGTTGCTCAGGGTTAGTCTCGGCGGGTAGTCTTTTGATTTATTTTGAATATTCATTAAGGCGTCTGTAGCATTTCAGTTAAAGCGTTTCTATTTTTGAAGTTTTGCATTCGTTATTTTACCGTTGGTATCTGTGAATCATTTTGATACTGACAGGCTAACACTGAGGCCCTGCTTAAATGAGTCTTTAACAAGGAACACAGCGATATCGCAATTGTAGATAATCGAGAATAGATAATACAAGAGGAGTGAAAGAATTCAAGATACATCTGACTCATTTATTACTCCTACATCAATCTTGAGTCATCATTATAAGTACGGTAACTATATGTTTCTTCTGTTTAAAGCTCAACATGTGAATGGAAAGACGGTATCGGTAATGGTATGTAATGGTATGCCGTTATGATAATGGTATGGATTGGATTGGTGGGTAAACGTGTCAGTGGATGGATGGGTGGATGACTCAGTGCCGTAAGCATGTGCGAGTAGGTGAGTGGAGGGAGGGATGAATGGATGGGTGGGTGGTGGATTGTGCCGAATGATTCACAGGTAGCCCAAGCTTGGTTTCTGTGGTGTCCTGTTATGAGGAAATGTATGGGGATTCATCAAAACTTTCAATAAAATCATCGAAACGTGAAATAAAGCCTCGACATTTTACCCGATCATTGAGAAATAGCACTTCTTTCGCTCTGTGTGGTTATTTTTTGAATTTAGACCGTTTTAAGATTTTTTCCTTACTGGTAGAGGGGGGGGGGGGATCTTAAAACGCGCTAAATTCAAAAATTTTATAGTTTTGATGAATCCCATACATTTCCTTATAACAGGACACCACAGAAACCAAGCTTGGGCTACCTGTGGATGATTTGGTAAATAAATGGATGGATAGTCTGATGCAGGGTCGTTTGCTTGCTTGTTTTTGTTTGTTTGTTTGTTTGTTTGATTGGTTGGTTGGTTTATTTCGTTCTTTTTGTTGTTGGTTTATCGTTGTTGTTTTTTTCTCTCTCTCTCTCTCTCGCAATACCATATCAAGAGAATATTTAGCAAAGTACTTCATATTCTCTCGCCCATATATGTAACCGATTCCTATTTACCCAAAATGCTTTAACGGCCGAGATCTGAATCGAATACTATCAAAATACTTACATAAGAACTACTATCCAGCTGATAAATATGCTCAGTTGGTACTTCAACGAGCTCYATTATGAGGACGTTTATGAAGATGTTTCCAGTTACTTGAGAGACAAACAATATTAACGCAAAGTAGACCATGAGATATCTCAAACCTGTGATGATAGAACACAGAACATTAGCTTCTTATACTTGAAAAAAAACAGCAGAACCTTTTATAAGCGACCTTGTCTAGTCCTTCAGCAACGTACCTAAATATATTTTATGTCACGCAATGCTCAAAGAGTGCGTGATGAATAATTAATGACTAGCGATATACCTGGTTGCGTCAGTCAAATCAAATCCTAATCACCTAGGAGCGGGAAGACTGCTTTCTTTTGTTCTTTTTATTATGTTTAATACGGCTTTTCATTCCTCGTACGGAAAATATGCATAAGAGAAACGTACTCTCTGGGGCTTTTGCCCTACCGGGATTAGCAAAGGATTCCCAAAAATCGACCCCAAGGGATAGAATTTCACGAAAACGACAAGATATCGATCAGTATGCAGTTGAGATAGAAACGCCAAAAACTGCGAAAGCTTTTGCCAAAGGTACTACAAAAACAAAACAGACAGAGGACGACTCGTCGTGTCTTGTAGATCGAAGAGGGGAGTTTTTACCTCAGCCAAATAATGGGAGACTGAAACATTTAACCAAGTCTCGACCAAAAAGCCCTGCTCGTCGGCCTGGCAATAACACAAGAAGAAATAGGTCTCGGAGCCCCGATCTTCGCCGAGATTCTTTCGACTATACTTTGGGATTAAACAATAATACAGAATCTGAGACTACATATGGTAAACAAGCGACTGGAGAAGCTGAGAAAAAATACTCAAATTCTTTAAACAAAAATTCGAATTATGCTTCACGGAAAAGCAACGTAACAAAACAAGTAGTCGTCAAGGATTTGAATTTATCTGCAAATACGATGGCAAGTAATGGTGCCGTAAGCTCTGGATTCGATGTTTACTCCAAGGAAAGAGTGTCMTCGAATATTTATAATAGAAAAGACTATGATTCGGAATCGTCGCAACAGGAATTTAATTCTTATTCTGATGAGGATTTAGGTGACATGTTAATCGGTGATTATGTTGATTCTGATGAATCAGTCAGTGACAATATCAAACCGCCGTTACCCTGCACTCCTCCACCTTTGGACGAAGAAATTGTAACACAAAACGAGAAGGATAATTCATTTTCGGGAACTAGATCTCCAAAAGTGGAATCTTATAAGGCTCTTGTAGACAAGACAAATTCATCAGACAACATAAAAGAGGATATCAGCAAAAACATCCGAAGTAATTATAGCTGTAACGATACAAATAACGCCAATAATGACATGCATCAATCCAAAACATCAAGTATAAATGACAGTTCTATTATGTCTAAAAGCAACACAACTTTATTGTCTGGACAAAGCGGTAGTACGAACTCTACAGTAATGCAATCCATCAGCCAATCTTCTCATAGACGTCGTCGTTTCAAACCAGTATCAGTGGATGATGTGATTACAGAATCAGATACTCTTTTAAAAACAGTTAGCTTTAGAACTGACAGTAATGACAGTGAAAAAGCAAATAGAACGTTCCCAGGAAATTACTCCGAGATATTGTCCTTTGAATCTGGGAGTAGCAGCAGCAGTGGTTATAAGAGAGAGATTGATTGGGGTCTTGGAACAGGGCCTCTCAATACAAGTTTAAGCGAGTCTACCTTAAAACGTGGAACAATATTTGAAAAGTTTTTGAAGAAAAAAGAAAGGGAACCTGATGAACACCAAAGTAAACAAGGAGTAGACAGTTCTGCAAAAGGACCTTTTGTCACTACCGAAGTGGATGGAAAACTGGGCTTAAACAGTGATAACATGCTGTCAAATAATTTAAGTGTCTCTTTAAAGAGAAGTGATGGGAGGGCTATCGCAAAGGTTCAGGAAAATAATTCATATATCAGAACTGAAGAAAATAATTCTTATACTAATTCAGGGAAACAAATGATAAACAAGCAAAATTATGATGAAAATAACGAGAATGAAAGTACTTATGATACTGATGGTTATGTAACCAATATTATTGATTATGCAGATGATGTTGATGATGATATCAATGGTGATGATGAAGATGACAATCACCATTCTCATATCATCAAAGGCACTACAGATCATCTTATGTTAGATAGTTGCCAAGTGCAAAGCCATTTTGATAATGACAAAGATAGTAGTGCAAATACTAGTGATGTGGGGTCTGTCTCAAGTGCTTCTATTGAAGATGGAGAAGATATGACAGATACTTTTGATTACACTACTGAAAGAAGACATTTTAATGGTGTATGTAGTCCAGGTGAAATATTACTTGACAAAGAAAGCCATGATAATAATAGTTTACATACAACTCAAGGACTTTATGTTCCTCCAAGGTGGGCTGAGAATGAAGATATTACAGAATATTCACCTGAAAGAGTGAACAGGGATAGAAATGATAGTGATGATGATGATGAAGGTAGAGATGAGAAATTAGAAACTGAAGATCTTCAAGATGATGTGGACAATATGTACTCTGACAATGAGGATTATGTTCAAAATGCTGGCAATGAATCTTTAAATTATTTGAATCAAGGTTAGTGTGGTATAGAAATTAGGTTCAAGCATACATCCTCAACAGGGAAGGATTTTTCGAGCACAATATGAAGCAGTATAAAATAATTTTCAAATGCCACAGTGGCACACTCTTTATTAATGTCCTCAGATAGAAGGATGGAATGAGGTCAGGGGCCTATTTATTGGAGATGTTGAGCTAGGTGCATTTTAGTATGAAGAGTAAAAAACCTAGAAATACACTGGCCCATGGCAACACTGATCTTTTCATTTCAATTTTCTATGAACCTGTCATTGCACATAGTTTTAAAAAGTTATTCTTTTAGATCTAGATCAAGATGATGTTATCTATCCACCTCATTTGTTTAATGAGGAACATGAAACCACTAATGATGAAGATGAGGATTTGTATGAGCCCCCTCCAATGTTTGCAAGGTATGAATGTATTTGCATTGTTATTGATACTTTATATGGAATATCATGTATACTTGTTATACAAAAATTTGGATTGGCACATGCATACCTTGGAATATCCCATCATGCACTTTTATTTGCTAGTATACGCACAAGTCTTTAGGTAAGTGTTTATGCAAGAAAATTCAAGTGAAAACCACTACCTGGATAGCTCAGTTGGTAAGAGGTCATGGTTCAAACCTCGGCTAGACCAACAGTCATGGTTTAAAAATAACCAAGGAGAAGGTGCTGCCTTTGTAATTACATCTACAAAAAGTTAGACCTTCATGTGGCTTGGATGACCACTTTAATGGTGGTCCTGTATCTAATCAACTAGAGATATTAAAAGAGGACCAAGTGTTAATCACTTAAATTACTGTCATCTGTCATCCTTTATTGACAAAGTTGATTGATTGAAGGATTGATTGATTGATATTCCATGGTATGTCATGAGAAAGCTTAATATTCTATTTTACCACATAATTCCATTAAAAATGCAACTAGTCTGCAATGCCTGATGGGAAGAAAAAGTGAAATACCACCACTTTGTGAGATAAAGAATAGTAGTCAAATATATCTGAATAGTTTTGATAATTACGGGATAAATAAGTGATATCCCATATGTTTTCTTTCTCATTAAAAGTTTTCTCTAATTGTAATAATCATTGTTAACAATAATTTTAATATTGGTAGTTTGCAAGAGAAAAGAACAATATCGAAAAATAAGGCTGACATTTTGCTGACTGATATCACAAAATAATCCAAAGAAAAATGTTTTATCAAGTTCAATAAAAAGGGTGTCCATAGAAAATAGAGCAGCAGTTATTTTTTGTAGGTGTAGTACCATGATAGTAGTATTTTGTGTCACATTACCTATTCATTTATCTTTTATTTTTATAGTGACGAGGAGAATGATGAACTAGACTTTGATAGTATTCCACCACCTCTCACAATGTCACCACTAATGCCTACGCCAAGTGTAAGTTTAGTCATTTATAACTTTAAATATTAGATTATTTATTTATTATTTATTAGATATTACGAAGTTAAAAATATTGATCTTTGTATTAAACAAGTAAACAAAATTTCAGTAAACAAAAACTAGTGAAAATAAAGATAGACAAACCTTGGAAAGAAGGGCTGTTACTTGAAACTAAGTTATCCCTACTGCTAGAGACAATGCCAGGGCTAACTCTTTCGCTTTTATTATTCCCTGACGAAAGAACACGAAAGAGGTCAAAGAACCAAGTTTGGTGGCCCTTGTAGGCAGTTTTTGTTTAACTACATAGGTCAAAAAAATGGGTATTAAACGACTTACCTTTCATTCTGACAAAGGAAATTATATTCCTGCTACGAATAAAGTCCATTTTGAAATTTCTATTCTTTAACTAAGGCTTCTAAGAGCGCCGTCTTTCAGTCATGCACAAGGAATTAAAAAGAAAAAGAAAAAAGGACAACAGCATACCACGCGATCTTCGACTCATTTCTGGTTTCCCGCCAATACTCATGACGCGACGCGCGTGCGTCAAATCAAAACACAGGAAGCCCAATATGTATATTTTTTCTTATCGCAAAAGGCCGACATGACCACTATTATTCGTCATCCGTTTTCCTCAATTTCGCTTTACCTTTTGCAAACCTTCTCACCAAATCTTCTCCAACCTTTTTGCACGAGTGTTCTTGTTGCGGTTCTGTGACTCATGAGCCGGTAGTGTACTTGATTAATGGAAGATAATTGTCTTTATTTGTTTCTTGTTACTAGAAAAAAGTTATGCCTTTTCACAAGATTCCTTTGGTTGACTGGACCGAAGACGATGCCTTACACTGGCTACAGCACGTTGGACTCGGGCACTTCAAAGAACAATTCAAAGGTATAGAATAGCCTTCTTTTATCATTTCCAATTTAAATGAAAAACACCCACCCAAGTTTCCGTAATCGAAATTCTAGTTGACGACCATGAGAACCCAGGCAACCCAGTCGACGGAATTCTCCTTCCAAGATACTATAGATCCATGGGGAAAACTTTGGTTGTCTGACAAGGACCGTCATATATGAATAACACTTGCCCTACCTATCCCATTGGAAATTGATGTGCTTTCTTATATTTTTGGCTAGAAGTCGTAGTTAATACTAGTCCACTTTCGGATTTTCTGTTGTTTAGGGTTAGCCTCGGCGATTTCTTTTGTAGTCTCCTTTATAGCGGCGCTACTTAGAGGAGTAAGAGCTTGGCGTGACGACACTAATAGCGGCTGCGTAAAAGACTATTTCTTTTGATGTATTTTTGAATAATCATGTAAGGTTTGTAGCATTTCAGTTCAAGCGCTTCTAATTTTGAAGTTTTGCATTCTTTATTTTACCTTTGGTATTTGTGAATATTTTTGACACTGAAAGGCTAACACTGAGGCCCTGTTTAAATGAGTCTTTATCAAGGAACACAGCGATATTGCATTTGTAGATAATACAAGAGGAGTGAAAGAATTCAAGATACATCTGATTCATTTATTACTTTTACATTAATCTTATTAAGTCATTATAAGTACAGTAACTATACGTGCACTAACTATACGTTTCTTCTGTTTAAAGCTCACCATGTGGATGGAAAGACGCTTAAAAATATCAATTTTCAGTTATTAGGTATGTATGGTATATGGTATGCAGTGCAGATGGTAATGGTATGGGTTGGATTGGTGGGTGAATGAGTCAGTGGATGTATGCCGGATTGGTCGGATCAGTGCCGTATGTGCGGGTACGTGATGCAAGTGAGGGTTGAATGGATGGGTGAGTGATGAATTGTGGATGGATGGGTAAATGAATGGATAGATAGATAGACAGATAAATAATTGCCAGATAAATAACCAATAAGATGGATGAAGCCAATGTCGACATGTGGTCTACTTTATCATGCAACTGATCAATGTGAACTTTCTTTCCACAGAGGAAATCGGTATCAGTGCTCCAGACGAAAGAGAGCTTGTCTTATCTGAGATTTACGAACTTGATAACCCTAGTGAAGAAGAACATTTAGAAGCTGAAATCCAAGGTGAGATTCTAAGACTCTCAATCACAACACCGCGTGATCTGAAGGCTAGCGCTACTGCACCGGACTTGTTAAGGGAAGGCATCAAGGCATGGTTTAGGCGCGGATCTAGGGGAGGTTCACTGGGTAATGGTGAAATGAAAARGGATTTATCAAAGAACGTGTTTTAGCTGAAATAAATACTATGACCTTAGGATAAAAAGTTAACTTATGCTAGGCCTGGAGAAGAATAGCTGATGAACAAAAAAAGTGAAGTTGAATCAACAGCTATGAGATGCTATAAAAACCTTACACATTATCAGTTTTATAAAAAGTACCTTTCCTATCATTGCTTTTAGACGCTCTTGAAACAGCTTCCGAGCAAGATAAAGAGAAGATTCTTGCTGTCCTGACGGCCCTGCGATCCCCAACCCTCAACCACTCGATGGAATTTCCAAAGCAGCAGTCACCACAGGAGTCAGGATCTCCAATGGACAGTGATCCGGGATACCACATGTCGTCAGATGCTACTTCATTAGCAAGCAGTGTTACAGCCAGTGATGAGCATACTCGTACAAATGTCACACCTAGTCATTCCCAACATTCTGATTTGCATTCTGCCTCGGGTTATGGACAGGGCCAGGAGGATACTAGAAAGGAGGGCCAAAAGGAAGCCGTACAACACAAGAAGACGAAGGAAAAGAAGAAGAAAAAAAGTAAAACCAACAAAAAAGAAAAGAAAAGGTAATGCACATGCTCCTATTTTCCCCCCTTTTTTCGTCGTTGTTTCTTGCTTTTTTTTTTTCATGAATCACAAGTCTTCCAAACTAGCCAAGCTACTTTATTCAAAATCCCAAGGCGTTTATGTCATTTATTCCATTCATGGTACATTTTCCTTTCAGCATCTCTAAATTCTGGGATTCCCTATCAATCAGCCACAAGTCTTCTAAACTAACCAAGCTCTTCGGCTCTAAAAAGTTGAACCCTGCCATGCAATACTTACTGCAATCTGGTCCACAAGGCATTGTCCGAGTGTATCCAACAGCTTTATCTGGACAGACCAAATATTGTAGTTTTATGGTATCCATGACGACCACTAGTGCCCAGGTCGTGCGCATGGTTCTTGATAAGTATGACGTGGTTGCAGATCCCCTGCGTTACTACTTGTGTGAAATAGGGCTCGGTAAGGGAGGTAGGTATTCCTTATATGATGGCTTATTTTTTGTGATTTGTCTCTCCATATACCGCAAACAAAGAGAAAAGGGGTGTTAGTAGTGTTTTGATGGGAAAAGAACTAAAGATTTGAAAAGTAGGTAGTCAAAACAAAATTCCCAATTGCATTGACGTTTGAGTGATAAGTAAGTCGCAGTTACAAGCCCTGAACGATTCTTCTTTCTGTTAAATTGGTTTTCGTTTTACAAGTTTTGGCTATCGTCTATTAAAGAGTAGCTTCTCTTTTTCTGTAAGAAGGTGTCCAATAGCGCACTAGTGATCCCAAATAAGTGATTAAGTCATTGTTTTTGTGTTTTGCGTTTTTCGCAGGCGTAAATCAAGTCCTGGAAGAAGGAGGCTGTCCCCTGACGTGGCAGTGTCGTTGGAACGACCCTGAAAAATTCCGCTTTGAGATGCGAAGTCGCGATGAAGGCTCTGTCAGGGTACGTCAGCGAAATGGATTTGCTAAACGTCATTATGTATCTTAACAATGAATAATAATTATGATAATATTAATTAATCTTTGCTTCGGTTCCACAGATGTTGTTTGAAATGGAAGAATACAAGGGCGACCTAGATTACCGATCAATTGCCGTTTCCTCTAGAACACCATGTAAAGATGTCTTACCGCTGATTATCAAAAAGTACGATCTGCCTGGTAATGTAGAGGATTACCAGTTGATGGAGGTGTCTGAAGACAATGAAGGTAAGGACTAGGCTGAGCTTTTTTTACAAAGATTTAAAGTAATTCACAAAGTGCTACTTTGCGCCGATAACTCAAAGATCGAATTAGATTTTAGCATGTCGTTGGTTTTGCGGAGTGAGGCAACCGGAGAATCCGAAGAAAAACTCTCGAATCAGGGGAGGGAGCCAATAACTCAGCTCACGTGTGACGCCAATTCTAGAAATCAAACCTGAGACTACATAAGTAAGAAGCGAGTGTTTGTTCGCGGCAAGAGCATTTAACCCGTGACATTAGCTAGACATTGGTGCAGTTAATACTTTGTTATTGCAAGATAGCAATTCGTTTGTTTACACCTTAAATATTCGTAATTTTCAGACGACAGACGCGTGGTGACTGATCACGTGTGTCCACTAAGACTTCAAATGGCCTGGAACGAGCCAGATCATGTGTTTCGATTGGTTAGAAAGCACGTGACGCCTGTAACAAGTGCTCATTCTTATGTGTAAGTACAGTAAGCTTGATAAAGTGAAGACATTAAACCTGTGAAATAGATATCAGACTAATACACATTAGTGGACCTTAATTCCATTACGTTGATTAGTATTTTTTATTTCACGGGTTAAATGCTATTCCAGAAATATTTACTATTAGTCAGCTAAAGGGGAGCACGGGGGAAGGGGGGGGGGGATGTGTACTACTGATGTGACCCCTCTGACTCCCGTACAAGTAAGTTCGATTCCTAGACTCGCCATCATATACAACTAAGAATATACAGAGAAGGTATTATCGCTAAGAACATATAGAGGCCGGCTTTGCACCACTACGTAATGGTATAGCCATATGATAGGAGGCACAACAATAGAGTCTTTTTCCCCTGGAAAATTTATTCATTATGTAAATCAGATTAGAACAGATTCAATTTTTCCTGCCTCCTGTCATGGCTGCTGTCTGACGTGATGGTGCAAAGCCTATTCACAATATAATTTCCATTCGTTGTACTATCTTTATAGGGAAGACCAAGAAGAAACGCAGGAACATCCATCCCCTTCCTTGCCGCGAACAAACTCCAATGCATCGTCACTCAGAGAAAACTACTATGAAACGGACTCAACTGACCACCAAGACAATACCAGCGAGGAAGCTTTACCAGCAATCAACCAAGAACTAGAGGAAGTCGTCATGGAGGTACAAGACAAGATCTCGGGGCAGCTTACACCTCATGGGAACGTGTCTAGGACTAGAGGACATTCTAATACAGTGGACGCACAGGTGGAAGAACTCAAAAGAAAGGATGCTGAATTACAACTAAAAGAAAAGGAAATACAAGATCTTAAGAGAGAAAGAGATGAACTGTTGGAAAAAGAAAACGAGTTGTTGGTTTGGAGGCTTAGGAATAACGAACTGGTTGAGCGGGAAGAAGAGGTTGAAAAACTACAGATGAGTTTTGCTGAAAAAGAAAACCAAGAACTACTAAAAAAAGAAAGTGAATTAAACGATTCAAGGTCTCAGTGTACACAATTGTTGGTAAGAAAAAAGGAAATGGAAGAAGTGGAACAACAGCAACAAGAAGAATTGGAGGAATTGCGGCAAAGGGTAAGGGAAGGAAATGAGGAATTACAATTGAGAGATCGTGAGATAGAAAAATTATATGCAAGGAATAATGAACTAGTTGGAAGAGAAAAAGAACTCGAAGAAAACATGAAAGATTTCATGAAGCTTAAAATGGAGTTGGAAAACAAAAATGAAAGTAGTACATCTTTGTCGAAGCAGGAGGAACTCGAGAACAAGATCAAAGACTTGCTCCTCGTGAACGAATCTTTACAAAACCAACTTGACGAGGCAATGAATGAGAGACTGACAGAAGAAAAAAACACCAAAGAAACGTTACAACTGCAAGAACGACTCGTAAAGGCTGAGAGCGAGAAAAAAGAACTGCAACAAAAACTCGAAGAGTTGCAGCGCAGAAATCTTTTACTGGAACGAGGTGCCAAACTAATTGATTCCATGAGAGAAGAAAACAAAGCACTTGTAGCAAAAGCTAAAGAAATGGATGAAATGAAAAGGAATATAATCCGGCTAACTTCACGGCTAAGGGAAGCTGATAACTTAAGACTGAATCAAGGTGAACTTGACGACATGAAGCTTAGGATAAGTATCTGTGAGGCTGAGAAACAACAACTGCAGTCAAGAGTGGAAGAAGTCGAGCGGCAGAACGGTAACCTACGGGAAGATCTACGGGAAGCTGATCAACTGAGAAAAGAAAATAGATCTCTTAGAGAAAAGGTGAACGAATTGGAAGACGTTCGCACGCATGTGAAAACATTGAGGAAAGAGATACAAGAGGGAGAGGTGCTTCGAGAAAACTTATTGAAGGTTCAAGGGACTGAAAAGGTGAGCCTGCCGTGTGCTATATTGTAACATTATGATATTAGTATGAGTGGGAATGGAGAGTTCAGTTATCCATCTATATTCTTGTTGTATGCTCATTTTCCCAATCTCAGTTTATTTAAAAATTCGGTGCAAACCGCTTCCTTTTCCTAGCACAACAGCCTACCGAGCCTTTTTTGCGAGGCCGGAATAGGGACTTCTTTCGAACCCACAAAAATAGATCCCTAAATAAAATCTAGTCGTTGAATCTCAAAACAGGAAGGGACGCCCTGGAGTCGCCCCTTCATTTATATCCCACCCTCTATGCCATTTTGTGCAAGTTTTGGAATTAATTTGGGTTCTTATTTTATTGCTAGTCACTGACAAAAGAGCTTAAATCTAAAGAAGCATTGTTAAAACAGAAAGAAGAAAAATGTGAGCAGCAAGAGAAAAAGATTAGACACATGGTAAGCCATTCAATCCTGCTTGTCAGCGGTGTACCATTAATTGCACTATGTGCTTATCATTTTCGTTAGTTATTGTGTCGAAGGTTTGTTTGCTTGTTTTCTTTTCTTTCGGTTTTCTTCTTCGTAAGTTGTTCGTTCGTGTTTATTAATTTGTTTGTTTACTTGCTTGCTGTTTTTGGCCAGCTGACCAACAATTATGAATTTGTCAATATTTCTGCAGTAGAAGAAGAGCCCCAACTAGTTTTTCGGGGTCTCCTTCTGACCGAGTCCCGAGCTACTCCACTCCATTGTTGTTTCTTATTTAGTTGATTGCGTTCCCACTTATTTTGTAGACTGATGCCATGAAGAAAATGGAAACAAAATTCCAAGAACAAGATCAACAACGCGAGACTTTGAGTCGATTGCTGAATATTATCAAAGAAACAGATCCTGGTCTTCTTAAAACTCTGCACAAATCTCTACACACAAGGTAATAATAGGATAGTTCCAGTATTAGGCGACTACTCTGTGCACCTGTCCCAAACTTTGACTGTGGAGGGACTTCGGAGCAGCGGCTGATTCAGAAAGCGTGTCGAAATTAAATCGCTTCTGTACAGGCATGAGGGGGAGCAGATTTCCAATRATCATTTTGTATCATTGCTAATGTTAGGAGCGGCACGTGAGAAGAGCGCCGTCGTAGCTTCATTAGTTATCGATATCTCGCAATGCCAGGCTTCTGTAATGATAATTTTTTTCTTTGTATTGATCGTTCTTACTTTTACAGTGATACACAACCACAGCAGCAGCCAGGGGAAGGGGAACAAGACGAAGAAGACGAAGAAGACGAAGAATGGTGCTAAAGGAACAACTAGAATCCCCTAGAACTACTTAACATGTTTATTGGTTCTGGTCACAGATTGATGCATCATGGATAATCGTATCAAAAAAATCCAAGCTGGCGGAGGGTCCGCCATCTTGGATTTTTTAAATCCTGATTGCCCTTTGATCCATCATTTCCCTCAAAAAAACTCAACATGCTTTTACCATATTTTGATGATATTTTAGGAAACAAGTTTATGAATGCATTATTAAAACACTGTTTGACTCACATTTTGGAAACTATTAGTGCACATATATTTTAGATAAAAACTAACGGTATCAAAGAACTCAAATTGTAAATTTTAATAAAGAATATAATTTTTATTGATTTTTATAATAATTCAGTGAAGATATTAAAAAGATGTATACATTAATTTATTATGATATTAAGTTAACATGCATGTAAATATACATTTATATATATGGAGAGAGAACAATTTATGAAATAAATGGTTTTTATTGAATTAAATAACAATTTTTGCATACGTTTACTTTTTGTATATTATATTTTGTAATAATATGATCAAGTCCCGAATAATACCACAATCCAAAATGGTTTCCAAAGGGAAGTTTATTTGTAACACAACCATTTCATACATCTATAAAACAGTCAATTAGGGCAAAGTCTGTTCAATATCAGGATTTGTTTTTCTTTTTTCCTCAATTTTTAACCCTTTTTCAAAGTTCTTTATATTATCTGAAGTATTTTTACATTATTTAGATGATATTTGTTACAATGACCTGAAGCTCGATAATAACTTGATATCATGCCAAGTCAACATATTTGCGTTTGTTTCGTATTATTTCTGTCGTATTAATTCCATATTTTCCCCTATTAGTTGTGGGTGTTTGTTTCCTAAAATAGTGCTTCGAGCGTTTTTGTTTTATAGATGCATACCAAATCTAATAATCACCGTAATCACACTCATAATCACACGCTTTAGGGTCAAATACCCTCAAAACATCCCAGGATGCGTAGCGCCAAAACACGTGCAAGAGACAATATGCCAGCCAACTATCACACAGATCTCTAGCTTATCGATGGCAAGGTCAATGCTCGTAAATATCATCCTGTAAATTAAACCTGAATATTTTTCTCTTAAAATTTGTCCTTTTAAAATTTTTAGGCTACTTTTGTGAAATGTTTTTTGTTTCAGATGCGAACCAAATTAACATTCGTGCAGATTCTGTACGAGTGGGAATAGTACAGTTTCGTGACCCAAGTATAAGACTTCCAGTCTGAGACAATCAAAAAATGTGGGAATGTGCTCCATCCAATCACAGTGCTTGGTTAATGAAGCCATTTTAATGTCGCGGTATCCCACTCATGTAAAAACTGCTATCCTTCGGTTCCTTGCATTTCAAAGAGAATGAGAGGACAGAAGACAGCCATGTTGAATGACATGAAAAACATATTTGTTTACGTCATCCAATATGGCGACTGTCACTCTTACTTAAAAGTCAATACTACTATATAGCATCCACGTGTTTATATAGTTTATATAGTACATTAAAACTACAGTATTAAAAATAGATTGATATCCTGCAACCCGTTAAATAATTCAATTTGTATGAAGTTGAAGTAAAAGTTGTGTGAAATAAATTAGACTAGTGTTATGCCTGTCAAAATTTTTCCAGTACGTTGCTCCTAAAATTTCCATTGAAAAAACTTAATATTACCTTTTTAAAATGACCCCGATTTTAGAATTTTCTCTTTTGGTTTTTGTATGGACGGGAAAAGTGAGGCTCATTGATTGGTTCTGATTGAACCAATCAGAAGGAGAGAAAATGATTGGTTTAACTAAACCAATAAGATGACGAGAAAATGAATAGTTTTCATAGGACCAATCAGAAGACTGAATAATTGGCCGTCACTGAACCTACGAGAAAATGGTTGCTTTTCTCTGAACCAATCGGAAGGAAAGAAAATGCAACTCAACCAATAACCTTCGTGCTTTACGAGTTAAAAAGTCAATTCAGGGTTACACCGTTGTCGTGTAACACCCCTCACAATTTCAAATAAAGCTCAAAACTAAACTCAAGCATGTAGTCTTTCCTCTCAAACTAATATCAACTTCTCACATAGAATAAAAAGTGTACTTTAAAACAGGCCATTAAGTTTTAAAAAAAAATTCTTTTTTTCATTATATTACTTTTTCTTTTGACTACAACCCAGCGTGCAGTACTTTTTTGTTTTGTTTTGTTTTTGATTGTTTTTCGTTTGTTTATTTTTTAGTGACAATGGTTAATATATCCGACATGTATAATCGTCACCTGTAGACCCTATACGTTTATTCGGATAATATATCGGATAATTCTCTGATGCGCCTACGTTGTTACATACCGTATAAGACGTTTTTCAAATACCGTATACACTCGAATCGTAACTATCTTAAATGTCATGTAAGTACTAATGTAAAACGAAGTAAAATCGAAGGCGCAGCCCTTTTTAACATTACCATTCAATGCAAAGTTCCATTTGAAAATCTAGAAATATTTGGTAATCTAAAAACACTGTAAATGCTACAAACATGATTGTATTGTATAATATATGCCCATAAAACGTGTACGAAGGGCTATTTGTATATGCGCTCAATCTAAATAGCTCAAGATGCGGGAAAAAGGAGTTGCTGTTCCATCTGTCCCTCGACATCTTTGTACTAATGATATCTGTCATTTACGCGCGCGCTAAGTAGTAATCTTACAAGAGCTGCGCGCACACTCTCAGAGTCCTAACTATGAGAGGTCGTTAATTCGTTCTATAATTATCTAGAGCTAAAATAATGCGCACGACTTACACATCAAGACCATTCTGGTGAACCATTAGGTGGAAAGATAGGACTGATATCAGATGAGTTGTACGATGCAAAGGCATTAACGCTACCACCTGGAGAATCGGAATGGAATTCCAGCTGATCGACATTGGCTCGTTTCTTATCAGTTTTGATTGGCATGGTAGCATTATCATTCATGGCGTCGAGTAGGGTCTCGACTAACTGATCTTCCTTATCTTCAACTGATCCGTTAGTCATCGTAGGCCAAGGCTCACTATAGCTTCCTGGTCCGTTATCGATAATTAATGGGGAGCTACCAGAGGTCGGAGAACCATGTCCAATAAAGCAGTTCCTTTCTTGTTCTCCACCGGGGGTAGGGACGGGGTCCGACTTGACCGGTTGTAGCCGCAGACTTTGTAGATCGAGTTCTTCAGTGTAGAAGTCTAAAGGGTGACCCTCGCGATGTGGTGTAATTGTGGCCCCAGTGGAGTACTTAGGGTCATTCAGGGACAGAGAAGACCCACTTGGGGAGGACCCTGGTGGTTGAAAGGTCTTGAAGGAGAATTGAGGACCCATCCAGAGGCGCCGATGAGGACCTGCGTGTGTCTCCATTTCAATATTGGTCAACCACTCGTCATCTCGTTCTTTTTTAACTTTTTGATTTTCCATTCTTGACAAAGTAGTATTGGCTTCCTCAATGGTGGTTGGCAAACGTTCTGAAATCAAAGATAAAGTAATGAAGTCAAGTCAGATGTGCTTGACACCGTGCTCCTCTCACTAATACAGCAAAGTTATTGACCAATCAGAGCGCGCGTAGCGGGAAGACTACGCAATAAAATCCTATGAAACCCATCCATAAAGGCTCGAGCAAGGCAATATATAATAATAATAATAATAATACTTTAATAAGAAAGTGCTGAAGCCTGATACATATCATATACTAATAATACTGTTTTTAAAAGCGAACCTTCTTTGTTGATATCAGACGTCTTGTGTGATGGTCGTGACTCCAGAAGTGGATGATTTGGTTGCAAAGGTCCTTTGTTTTCCTGCCAGGCAGGGGACCTGGAATAATTAACAGTTATCACTCAGTAACGTAATTTTCAGTCACGCTCAACTTTCGGTCACGTGTCACACGACACGGTCAGGGCACGAAATAAACCAACCAGATTGCCTGCGAGGTTACTAAGGGCTCATCTAAACAAAATGCTCATACGCGACACTGTCATAGACGTTTCCTGAGATACCGAACGTGCTGCATTGTGGTCAAGGTTGGTAATTACAAACATCTTTTGTTCACCATGCCTTATATGATGTTGCTTGTACCGAATCTAGACCAGACTTTATCAAACTCAGAGAAGGTCTATGGTCGCTGGCTGGCACTTAGCATTAGTCGTTCACAGTCATTTAAAATAATCTGCTCGAGACCACGAAAAACTGAGCATATCACGAAAAACATTGTAGAGGACATACCAAGTACAACAATAGACCTCTTGCAGTACGTCGGAATGCAGCTCAATTTAGTGGACATAATAGGTTTTCAAATTCTGGAGAGATTCTTTTGTTTTGTCCTCCAAATTGAGCTGCTTCGACGTTACATGCAAGAGGTCTGTAGCACGAACGTATAATCCCCCCGCCAATGCCTTGACAGTTATAAATAGATGTACCTTGCAAGGCTCCACTGAGCCCTTGAGGTGGCTATCAATTCAAGTGGTGTTTCATGGGCCTGGGAAGCAGTTTTAAGCCCTTGTGGTTCAAGAGTGTACTCAGTCAAGTTGCCATGGAGATCGAGAATGAACAGCGGATCCACCACCGATTGACGTTGAACTTCTGACCTGGATGAGTTTGCGCTCCCTCCTAGCCATCCCCTAGAGGGAGCAAACAGCGCGACCACACCCAAAGAGTCCGTGGGCAGTTTTCCATTACATTTGGATATCCCAGACGAAGGACCCCCGCAACACGTTCCCCCGCATCTTACTCCAGTTGGTGTCCTTATTTGAGCCAGGGGGTACATGACATATGGATGGGGGAGGGGAGGGAGACGGGCATTCATCAAGCAGTTGTTTCCTGCACCGGGGACTGTGATATTATCTCTTGTGATGAAGGTAGTGTTGTGTGGGCTCCCACTAGGAGATCCACTGGAGTTCTGTGTATTACCAGGGCTACTACGCCCAGTCGTTACTGCAGTGTGGATTTCCATGTCGTCCAACCCAGCTGATGTGTGGAAACGACTGCTGCGGTTGACTACGCGAGTTGTGATGTGAGTTCGTACGTTAACTGAACCTACAATTAAGAAAGACAAAAATCAACACGTGAAAAAATTCAAGTGAGAAGTCAGCCATATTGGTGTACCAAATAATATGAACTTTCTGCACAGTTTTTGAATAAAAATAGACTTCAATTCCCCGAGGATAGATGTACTGTTTTGGTACACCAACATTGCCGCTGTGACGTCACCTGAAAACACCTATATAGACCCTATCTCATGCGGAACCGTTAAACAAAAAAATGATACTCTAGGGAATGACATATGGTCTAAAAATGGGGGAAACATTACGCCCAAGGTAAAGAGAATGCATATTTCTCTAACTTTGAAAGTAGTGCTATACTAACATACCTCCGTATGGATTGATTGCAAACAAGTGAGTAGTTCCACGAAGAGTTGAAATAGCTATCCATCGACTATCAAACGAGAAGGAGATGTTGTACACCTACATATGCAAACAACATGTTTGGATCACTAAGTTGTCAGAACTGAGTATATAAAGCATAGTCAAAAGGGGTATAGAGGGGAGGGTAGTGTATAGTACTCACAGTAGCTGTAGTGTCTCCTCTATGTAAGGTGTACAGATGATGAACGGCACCGAGAGAAGGACATATAGGATGAGCCATGACATGAAAGACATGGAAATTATGGCCAAGTACATCTGTTGTTACTAACAGCGATCCGCTGACAAAATAGAAAAACCATGCATGATGTTGGCAAATATTTGTTCCAAATCAGACACTGACTTTTAAGAAAACTTAGAACTTGAAAAATTCTGCGATGAGAATCAGAAAATATGAGGTAACATACTAAGAACGTCTTTAAACAAAAGCGTCTGCTGTTTAGGCGCGACACGTCCCTACATCCCAGGTTGATATAGCAGCGTTCCCGCCTGCCACGCTGGCTACGGTGGATAATGAAGTTGCACACTTTCCAGATTTCAATAATTTTGACGTTCATACTACAAACAAAGTACTGATCTTGACTGCAAGTTTGGTAATTACTAACACGGGACTTAGCTAAAGATGGTAAAGTAGTAATGATTCTTACCTCGGATCGAAGGCCATAGCTGAGACAGGCTGTCCTGCGTGTGCTGGGAAATGAGCCACTATACCATTACCATCATGATCATCTTCCTGGACACAGAACTGCAATATATCACAAACAAATCATTAGCCTTGTTTGCATTGTTAGCATTAATTTGTGCTTCGCTAAAGGGTTTTTATGGAACATGAAGTACTGAAGCGAGAGCGTATCTGGCCTCCAGGACCGTGAAGAACCTTTGGGCTTTGAACATTTGGGGTGGTGACTTCAATTAAAAAATATATTAGAGTTTTAATGATTGAAGTTGGAAGGGTCAAAACTTGAATATTTAGCAAAAAGTGGGGATGCAAACGCCCCCACACCACCCTTGTGAGAAAAGGGTTTTCACGCGAAAACAGAGGAAGCGTATATTCATTCATTTAATGACGGTAAGCTAATATAATGTATCCTCCTTATGTCTGTGCAAATTGAAGCACCCACCCTTGGTATTGAACAAAACCAAGAAAAAGAACGCATGTAAAAACATTGTCAGTACCTCTCCAGTGCCAATCTTTGGAATGTCCACAATAGTCACCACGCCAGGCATAACCATTTTACCTTTCTAAAATAATGGGGGGAAACAGAAAAAAATAATTGAAATAATGAAAAGTAGAGAGCACACAAAACGATAAGAACGATCTAATTAATGTGTATTGTTGACTTACGTGGGTTGTGTAGTCATTCATCATCTCATGAGGGTAGGAAGATGTCCATCGCCCTACTGTCTCACCTGAATAAAAAGATAACATTTTCACTGGTAAGAAGATAAAAACAAGCCAAGAAATTGAAGGTCCATCACTACTTTCTGGTCCTAAAACTTAAATATCTTGTAAGCCAAATTATCTGAGTGCCAGATGGGAAAGGAACCCATGACTTTCCAYATTCTAGTCAGATGCTCTAACCACTGAGCTACTGGGAAGTCCAATGGTGAGCAAGGTCGTTTATTTATTTATTTAGTGCATTTGTTTAATGCCCCATTTACTCCGCTTCCTTATTTCCATATATTATACTCACCAAACTTAGTGAGTCCTCTAGTCAGTGTCTGGGGACAAAATAAAAGATTGGATATTAATCACTAAATTGCAGTGATAAATAAGTTGTGTTCATTTGCTAGGCAGCATTGGTCATGCAGGATACATGTATTCAAAAGTGGTTTGGGCTTYGATCAATAAATATTCATTATATAGTAAACTAGTAAGTAACTTGAGAAGTTATTAGATTCATAACATTGAGATTGCTATAATACCCCATGCCCCTCCTCCTCTGTGGTCTCTATTTATACAACAAGAAAGCATATCAAGTAAGTACTTTTGCCCCACCCACCCCACCCATCAAAACTTTTAGTGATTATTAGCTCAGTCCAATCAATCCCTGCTGGGGTGTTCCCTGAAGCGTATTAGCTTATCTGACGTACCTTTGCAGCATTAATAACTGTAGCTGTGTAAGACTGGGCATTATCACTTGACATCCCACCACAGGACTGATGGTTGGGCACCAACTAAACAAAAAAGATGGTAAGAAATTTGCCCCATTTTTTTTGTTCACAGACATACATTGTCGGTTTATTCTAAAACATGAGATTGATTTCAAGTCATATAGCATCTAACGCATTGGGCAGAAAAGGAATATCGAAAAAATAATAAACTTGTTGCAAAACTTGCATGTTTGCAGTGTGCAGTTATAATGAGGACAAACAAAAAAATAAGTGTGTTTCCTGTTGTGCGACTGACCCTAATTTTCTTGCCGATTTTTTCCGACCCTAATATTTTTTTCATTCCCAAATGCACCACAGGGTTCCCAGTAAGCTCATTTTCACTGTTGTATCAGTAAAAAAAATCTGACCTACCGACCCCAATCATTTTTCTCATGCAACAGAAAACACACTATGTTTGGCCTTTGCATGCAGGGGATTGGTACATCACAAGAAAAGCATGTGCTAGGAGAAGCAGTGCTTCTCAGCATTCTAAATGTCCTTCCAATATTTTTACATAACATACAAATTAGAATAGCCATTTTTTTCAATAAGAATCAAGAAATAGAAAGCATGTACCTTAACCAATCAAAAGACAAGATATGTAACAGTTATTTTATTTCATTTCATTTTATTGTATTTATTTAAGTCTCAGCTGTAGCCATAGCTATACATAATATATTACCTTGCAATCAGCATAGGCCAGCCATCTTTCACCCAGAGCCAGGGGATTAAGGTTTGGACTTGGCGCCGGAAAACAACCTATTGGTATGGAAACCAATCATTAAGGCACTCTACCACAGGAAGTCTATCTTTCAAGGATGGCCGGAAGTTGTGGTTAAAATAGTGAAACAGCTATGGTAATACATTGAAACTCACTCATTATGCAGAATAAGCTGTTCATCGTACTGGCGTCAAATGCTGCTACCTTTTCCTGGAGGGCAACAACCATTAACCTTGAAAAGAGATAATATTCAAATATTACCAATAAATATTATTTTCATTATTAACATTCTGTTCCTTTATCTTTGGACCTGCTTTAAACCTCTTAGTGATAAGGTTATTTGATGAGTTACATCATGTCAAATAGAATATCTATCTTGTATAATATGTTATCAGAAAGGAAAGGAATAAAACTCAAGGAAATATCATGATGTTTGTAAAAGGGATGTAAACTGCTAAAAGTAAAAGAGGATATTTGTGAACATCAAAAGAAATTAAATCTAAAACTCAATAAAAAAAAGGGGTTTTTTTTTTTGAAAAATATATTGAGTTTATTATTGATAATAGAAAATGTTTTTACCTTTTATTACTGAGAACATTATACACTTCTGTTTTAAACCCAACAGAATGTACTTGTTCCCCAGTACTGAGGGACCATAAGTTCACAGTGGAAAATGGCAAAGAGGGACTGTAACATCAAGAATAAGAACATTAATGCAGTTATTACTTTGTATATATATGGCAGAGATTTGGTGTTTAGCTGCTCCCTTAAAGAAGTTCATAATTAATCTAATCTAATGCATTTACCACTCCTGGGTGGCTGCATAATGCCTTCAGGTTTTACAACCCAACAAATACATGTAAGGCAGCCAATAGATCCAAATAGAGTTTAGGTGTTGATTTTTGTGGAAGAAGAAAATAATGGAAAACTTGTTAAGAAAATCCCTTGAAGCAAAGGAGAGAACCAAAAAACAACTCTACTCACAATTGACAACTACATAGCCTGATAGGACTCGAACCTGGGTTGCACTGGTGAAAGGTGGTGCACTAGCAATGCATCCACTCATCCACCCTTGCTAAGTCCCATATTAAAAATGTCCACCCTTGCTAAGTCCCATATTAAAAATGTATAGACATAGAGTAATGTGAAATGTAATGAGGAAGTTATAGACAACCCCTTATGGAATGTTCATTCAGATTAAAATAAGGGAAGATAAAATAATCTATTCTGAGAAACTTATAAATAGTACATGGACTGTTAGATAGGAAAACCTTACCTTGCAGCATCACAGACAGCAAATAATGGCCTGCTTGCACCAAACTCATCCTTTTTACCTGATTACAGAAAGCAAATAATTGAGATTAACCTGCAGACCAGGCAAGGGTAATCAAAGAAAATAACTGTAGAATGATTGAGAACACAACATGTATGGACCAAAGAGAGATCAAGGTTCTCTATAGACTTCAAGGGTGATCTGATCAATCAACTTCAATCAGAAATAATTTGTTCAAGACAAAAGACAAGTTTCCTGCTGATACAAAATCATAATGCTTATTATAGAAACCTTACTATATACTCAGTTTATTAGTAGGAAACCGAAATGCAGCATTTAGAGTACTTTACAACATGATATATGCCTCATCCAATCAATCACAACTCTACACTAAATGATATATTACATGGTCACCTCCCTACTTGAACTCTAGCCAGACAAGAACTGTGTGCTGTATTTGCAAAAAGAGCAAGAAAATTTGATTTTATTTCTTTACTAATTGCTTGATCTGTTTGTTGCAAGTCTTTGGGTAACATAGGTTATTCCAGGGAATATATTGGTGTCAACAGGTTTCTTTTTTCAATATAAATTATAGGCATTTCTTGACTCTAAATTTTGACCTACCTTTAACTCTTGGTGTCTGGAGCATTTCAACAAGTCTGACTGGACCTTGCCGCAGGGATAGAACCTCATATGCCTCTCCAATAGACTATACAAAATTAAAGATATTTATATGAATTATATCAGGTGCATTACGTTTAATTCACAGTATGGGATGAAAACAAAATCAGAGAACAGGAGAAGATTTGGATGCAATTTGTGTTTGTTCAAGCATACTTTTCTTGGAAAATATTTCCGAGCCTTAGGAGGAATTCTAACCTGTGACCTTCAGTTTGCTAGTCAGACACTCTAACCACTGAGCTACTAAAACTCATAGTAGAAAATAATTGCCTGGCCCCAAATTTTCCTGGGACATTTCTGTTGCTTCCACTTTACTAATTTTTATTCCATCTTTGGAATCAAAGTGTTCCCTGTGAAATCTTTCAAAGAACTACTTACAGGTATTGTCCACATTTGAAAGCCATTGGTATACCCAAGGACAAGAAGCAAAGGACTTGTATTACCACAACCACTCTCTCTTGAAAAACCGTCATCTATTTGGTACAATAACTTTGTTATTATTCAAGAAATGTAATAAAGTAATATGAAATTTCTTCGGCAAGATTTCTCATTTCAGACTACCTCATCAAATTGTGATGAGTATCATTACTTTGTTTAACAGTTGCGCATGAGGAGATGCATAAATATACAAAGAATCTCAAACAAAGAATCTTATTCTCTAGAGAATGACACTTGGTCTGAAATGGGAAAACATTACACCAAACTAGCCAAAAGGTGTCTATTTAAAGATTATATTTTTAAAAAGAAAAAATTGAAAAGTCTGAATAATTACCACCAATGTCTAGCTTTTCAAATTTGACCCACAGAACACGTTCTTTCTCCTCAGTTTTCTGGTTGCCAGTTACAGCCTGGAATCAAAAGAGATTGAATCTATTGCTATGAGAATTTATGTTTGAGTCTTAAATAAACAAACAAAATGGCTGAATCTACATATAAAGGATTTCATAATTAATCTAAGGAAAAACTAAAAAAAACATGACTAATGTTGACAAAGTAACTGGATCACATATCAGATTTTCTTTTTAAAAATATTTTGAGTCATTTTGAAGTTTTTAAGAATTTAATAAGTATATTGTTATTAAAGTACTGTAGTTTAAACCCTAATCATGTTTTTAAGTCATAATTAGTTACTGTATATGATATCCTTAAAAACACACCAGAAAGATATATTTTCTTTTTTATGATGTAAAATTTCCAAGACAACAAAAAAGGACTACCAAACCTTAACTTCTCATGTTAACATAAAATGATTATGAATATGCAATATTCAAAATAATTAACTCAAAATCATGGATTGTCCAAAAATTTGTATTTTCTTTTTCAAACATCCCCACTTTCATTCAAGGATGGACAAAAACGATTTGAGATATTTCTTTAATCATAAAATCACTAGAAATGAATTGTGGGTTCAGCCTTTTAAAGTGATTTTAAAATATTGAAAAATAATAAATCATAATTTTCAAATTATCACGTTTGGTGAGAAAAATTGGCCAAAAATATGCATTTTCAGAACAATTTAAAACACAAGCTTTTCTTTTTTTTAACAGGTAGCTTACCACAAACGCAGCAAGTAGGGTTTCGACTTAGAAAACTTGGGTCAACGAAAAGAAAATTATAAGCTTCACCTTTATGATTGTATAAATTAAAATTTCGTAGTAAATAAAACAAAAAAATCCTCAAATAAATAAAATGGCTTWAAAATAATCTATATAACAGATCCTTCCAATCTAATAGATAATATTATATAATACTGAGCACTTTTTATCAGTTTTTTTTCACACAGTTTATCAGCAGGTCAATGCTTTAGACTTTGGGTTACAAAAAAGGAGCTACGTTTTATTTTGGGGCTGAAAAAAACTTTTTGTTTTTGGTTTAAAAAATGTTCTCTTCTCGAGAGCACTTTGTTTGAACCATAGGGCTCTTTTTCAGCTAACAAGCTCCTCTCTTTAGGTGGTATATAATTCAAACTACGAGGTTTAAAGATAAGGTTTTTTTTATGCATGACGTTATTTGATGACCATCCTCTCTCTGTGCATCACGGAGAGCCAAAAGTAAGTGTGTTAACTACCCTGCATTATAATACCTGAACTTGAGGCACGACATCGTGTAGAAAGCTCACCACACTCTCTACATAGGACTTGTCGCTGTAGATGTAATAAAAACAGTTTAAACCTCCCCAAAGTGACATTAAAATTGCCCCAAACCGTTGACAAAGAAGATATTATAAAGTTGCTAACCTAATCGGTTGTGGTCGAACCACCAGCCCACCAACTCGCGAAACACGACGATTTCCACCTTCCATAGCCATTCTTACGAGCTTAAAAGCTCTCCAACCTGAAAAAGGAAGGTTAAACTATCGTCCCAGTGTATCTTTATGGATTATTTGTCAGCAATTCATGTTGAAAAGGTTATGTTTTCAAAGCCATCTTGGGTGATGACTTGGGTTCAACTGTGTTTTGGCGTTGCGTTACGTCAGAAATTTTATTATTGTTTACTTGCCTCGCTTTGGAGATGACGTATAGTACCAGGCTCTCCACAGGTAGCCCAAACAAGAACCATGGACCAGTCATTTTTTACCGTGGAAAGGGGGGAGGTAGCGATGGGACTGGAGGGTTGTTTAAATAGAAATCGGTCTAGGGTAGGGGGCTACACAGAAACCTGAGTCGCACTACACTTTTACGATAAAGAGAATGGAAAACAAGGTAATACTAGAGGAAGGGAAGAAAGTGTTTTGCCAACTTTTCGCCTTTTTGCCACTTGTCGAAAAGTTAAAACAAAAAAAATACAACATTGCTATCATCAGTCACCTGAACGCGCTGTAGTATTTAAATTGAATTTCCTGTTCTTCGAGGTTTTTCTTCGTGTTTCGTCAAATTAATCAGAACATAATGGCAACGAGCCACCCCTAGACAGTGCCTTCCATACGCCCAATCTTAGTCTCTAGCCTGAAAGCCCGCCCTGTTTGAAAGTTTAGATCCACCAATGCACATTAGTGGAAAATTCCCGCAAGGGCTACATCCATTTATTGCCGGTTGCAAATGTTCGCACTCCGATAATTCACTATCTTTATTCGTTGCATTCATTCGACTCTGAAACTGCAAGGCTACAATTTTGTCCTTTTTTCCATAACGAATTTAATTCACTTTTCTCTGGAAGAGATATTCATATCTTCTATATTCTCGTAAATGACTTCTTCGACTGGTACTTGATCATAAGGGTGTTCCACACTAGAACCATCATCAGTACTAGATCCATGATATATTGAAGGTGGTGGGCTGCCGGTCACTTTTGTTCCAGGCTTAGGAGCTTGAAGCACTGGAGGTGGCGGAGGTGCCAATCTCATCCCGTTAGGCTCCTGGGATTCAGGTACCGGAGATTGAAAAGATCTCCCCAGGGTCTTAGGTACCGAAGGTTGAAAAGCGGGTCCTGTAATCTTCAAACGGGGTCTCGGGGTTTGAGGTAAAGGAGGTGGAAAGCTTCTGGTACTGTCTGTATCAAAACTGTTTCCTGGTTTTGCTTTGATTTGTTCCTTTATCTTAGAATGACGAATTATAAAGGGAAGCTCGTTAAAATCGCTAACTTCTTCCTCGGTTCCTGAGCTTACGGCGTCGTCTTCATGCCAATTCCAAATAAACCCTGTTTTAGTTGTTTTCCGTCTATAAGAAAAGATATAAATGTTGGAAATTATACACACCAGCAAGTTGGGCTCATGCAGATTACATTGATCTTGGTAAAAGAAAGAGATATTCTCATTGACTTTGGCTACACGGAAGCGTTCATAATTTGTGGGGCGGGGCTTTGGGGGTTTGAAGGAAGGACCAACCATTTTATCTGGTAACAATTAGGGGCGGGGGCTATATAATTTTTGTTCTTGTCAAATCCCAATAAATTATTTACAAAATACATTATTGGAGATTAAGGAATAGCTTTGTTTCAAATTTTATCCACAGCCGGGGTTCCACAAAATATTTTCTATCTTACCCTCGTTTAAATTGCTTTGCAGTCTTCTCTGCTTCTTCTTTTAGCCGCTGCGTTAAACTAAGAAAGAAAAAGCACCACGTTAACTCTATCGTACGGAAGCCAATAGTGGACATTGCAGCATGCTGCATGTTAGAAGAGTTGCTGCAAATAAGAAACGAGTTTCTGCATGCTTAGGCACTAAGCAAAAAAAAAACAGTTTGCCGATTGGGGCTTAGTTTAAACTATGTTTAATTTTTGACAGATTTCTCAACTAAAGCGAATTCTAATCGATTTAAACTGAGTATTCAGTTTGAAGAGAAACCTCAAGTGATTTAACTCTGCTCAGCTTAATAGATTTCAATTTGATTTTCAATTTTTCCTCGGCACTGGAATACGAACGACTCTCTTCCTGGTACTTAATTGCTTAATTGCTCATGATTACAGACTGCAGGCACGCAGTTTTTAAGTTTTTATCTAAAATATATTACAGCGCTTCTTTTCTCGAAGAGGCATGATAGTCATGATGGCTCTGAACAGAAGAGCCAGTGGGGGTTTTGGGTATTTATTTGTACGCAGGGCAGATTTGCAGTAGATAGACATGCAGTCAAGTCGCAGTAGTACCATTTTAACATAAATTATAGCAATATATAAAGAAAATACCGAGAATCAAAACCAAGTGGATTAAAAGTCCCTCTCAGTCAACTGTTCCCAGGAAGCATTTTAATTCACAAAAAATCACTCGATTTTTTCGATCAACATTGCTTACTTAAATGTTAATTCTGAAAATGAGCAAAAAGGAATTGGGCAGTCAATCTTTATAAAAAGATATTACAAAAATGATTAAAATATGCATTTATGAAAATAAAAAAATCTAATCTGGATACGATGGGGTTCGAACCCGCCGATAGAAAAAAAAAAAAAAACGATTCAACTTTGCCATACCCCCGAGACATCCGCAGAGCTGAGGCGGCGTATGGACTTCGGACCTGACGGCGATTAAATCCTTCTGCCCTTGGGTGTACGAATTACGCAAGAAAATGTTCTAGCCAAAGCATCAGGGGAGAGACCAGCCGGCCCCCAGACCATATCGGCTAATCCCTTGCATCTCTGCCACGCACGGAATCGGTTGAAAATATAATGTTAAAAAGTCTAGTCTATCTGGTGCATTGTTTTCACGGCTATTGTTATGCTGATTCACCTGGAACCGTGGCTCAGTGGAAAAAACCTTGGGCCTCCTGAGTCAAGCCCGGTTGGGGGAAGTAAGTGCCTGGATGGGTGACCTAAAACCTAATGCCTTCTAAAAAATTTTTGCAAGTTTTTTTTCGTAACTTTTTGAATTTTTTTTCTTCTTTCGTAACCGATTACAATCTGTTTTAGATTAGAAATCGTTGAAAATTAAAACTCTGTTAACTCTTAAAAACTCTTTTAACTTTCTGCAAGTCTATTATGGGCCACGATAAACATGCAAAACTTGTCCAACATGCAGCAACCAGAATAGTTTACGCAATAAGTACAGCCAAGACTTGAAAGCGAAAGAAGAGGAGCGCAATGTTAACACACGTCTTGGTTTAGCAACTCGATGTGCACAATAAGATACAACCAAGCCTTGAAAGACACAGCTCATAGTTAAAGTATTCGATGCGCGCAATAAGTAGGACCAAGATTTGGAAGCGAAAGAAGAGGAGCACAATCTTAACACAGCTCTTGGTTTAGGTACTCGATGTGCGCAATAAGTACGACCAAGCTTTGGGATTAAACAAAGCTGTGTGCAAGAGAAATAGAGACCTCACTGATTACAAAGCGCTATAGAAACGAGCTTTAGGGCTCGAAAATGATTGTTATTCAGCAAGAAATTTGAGGCATTCGTGAAAACGAAATGCAAAAGCCTGCTTGTGCATCATAAAAACATTTGATACTCAGGGATATATATTATGCGCGTATAAAATACTGCGTGTGTGCTGGAAGCAACAGTGATCGCACTGAGAAGAAGAGCATTGATAAAGCAAAATATTGTAATAACATATTTTGGCCCTTACCTTTTAAAGATAATCCCCTTCTGTTTGAGAATCAGAAGAATAGTCATGACACATACAACAAAAAACCCTACGACCAAACCTCCTATGCATACTAATAATAAAGAATCTGGAAAAAAGAAGCATCGTGGTTTATGTTTTTTTTATGGTTTTTGATTTTGGGGAAAAAAACTTTTTGACTGATGGAAACAGTGGTAAATGAGCGTATGTTCATCACAAACTTGCAATGGTATGAGAAACGTAACGACTTTTCGCATTCTGCTTTTATTCTACTCAACAAAATGTACAGTATTCTACTTACGTATTTCTGGTTTCAAGGCGTGTCTGGGTTCTGAAAAAGGATTCACAGATTCTTGGTGAGTGAGTCATCAGTAACCCGCGACTTTTTTAATTATCACACCGTCACGGTCGCGGCACATCCCGTCCAAATTTATTAACATAGAAGTAATAATGATAATATATTTGTATAGTCATAACTTTTTCAATTTCAGACCACCTATCATTCTCTTGAAAATAAGATTTTTTGTTTGGGTTGTATCGATATTTGTGTCTTCTCATGTGCAACCGTTTCACAAATAGACGATACTCTAGGGAATGACACGTGGTCTGAAATGGGAAACCTTACGCCCAAGCTAAAGAGGTATATTCTCAATGTGTACTTCTGTAGGCATGTTTACTTACGGTTGATCACGACCAGTTCTGCTATTTCCTTCGTAGCTTGTCGTCCATCTTGTGAAATTGCCAGGCAGTAATACACACCGTTGTCATGGTATCCAACATTGTTTATCAAAAAGTCCTGCCCTTGTTGAACAACTTTCCCGTTGACATGAACTCGGTACTGAGGTGTGTCTGGGGTGAATTTGTGCCTTAAAAACACCTTTGCGCTTCCATCTTCAACTCGACAGCTAAAAGTAACTTGGGYTCCGGAAAGAACTTCGAACTTCTGTTTTGAATGCAGAAAATTGAGGGAGGAATCTGTAATAATATTAGCTATTAGTATCATTATCCAGGTGAATAGAAAATAATTGCGTTCGCTGATTTAAGTCGAGAACTTTGAATAGAGGTTTTGCCCATCATGTGATGGCAGCCATGACAGGAGGCACAACAATAGTCTTTTCTCACTTGGAAACTGGAATTCTTTCGTGTGTAAATCAGATTAGACCAGATTCAATTGTTCCTGCCTCCTGTCATGACTGTTATTACGTGATGATGCAAAGAGGTGTATATAGGATTGCGCGCGCGCCGTTTGTTGATGCGTGTCGCTTTCAAAATTCGAAACAAATATTGATTTATATAGAGTTTTTTTAATATTTCCGAATTGTTTGCCACCCATGGGTGATATGGCTAGGAAAGTATGGGTGAACCTCAATGCGCTAGTGTCACTGATGCCTTTCCAAATAACCGCATGCGCTCAAGAGTCGATGTTCACACGCTATGCATTCACCATTAAAATTACGATTTACAATTGATAAGCCAAATTTGAAAGCGTACTACTACCGCGATACGGGAAAGTACAACAGTACAGTGGTTTAACCGCAACCGAGTATCTGAACGTAATATCGTGTACTTGGTACTAGCTGTAAGAAATACATGAATCGCTCTAAAATAGAAACCTTTAAATCTTGCTAGCAAATGTATTTACTCAGAATGAAATCAGTTAGATACCACTAACGGCTTCTATAAAGCCCCGTTTAATTTCTGCCTCTTCAAGTTAACTTTTATGTTTGTTCAGATTGACGGTGCCGGTGGATTCATCAGTAGACGTTTTAAAACGGAACCGCTTTTAAAAAAAGATAAAAAATAACGAGTCTCAAAAAAAGATTCAATCATATCAAGACAATCTCGACATAAACAACCACAGAAAGAAAAACACAGTCCATGGCAAGGAAAACAGCATGGGAAACTTACACCAACAATAACGAGTGAAATGGAAAAAAATATAAGACTGATTAATAAACAGGAAATGTTTTCAGTTTTGTTTTATCTCAATCCGTAAATAACCGACCCAATAAATAGAAGACGAATGAAAAGCCGGGGAAAATATCTGATCCAATATCTTCATGCAGTTATCTCGGCTCTCGTACATCAGTCCAGGGGCGGCGGAACCGGGCGGGGCATGTGCCCCCACACGAAATTTTTTGCCCCCCCCCCCCCCCCC